GGAGTGTTCTTTCTCCCATCTTTCCCCCTGGAAAAATAAAATAAGGTCAGTACATTGTCAAGATCATTTGGATTTTTTTTTTATCTTTAGGAAGATTATACTTTCAGAAAGAGTTGAGAACAAGTTTAGCTATAAACCGTTTCCCTGGATTTTTTTCCACTCTGTCTTTTCTTATGACAAAATCTGTCAAATATTTCTTTGATGAACTTATCCTTTTCTTCGTCTGTGGAGACATGTGATGGCCAACCTGATGCTTCGTATTTTAATGCCATGTTTTCTCTCACGTACGAAGAAAAAAGTCCGTCAGTTTTGGTTTCAGGATCATATACCTTTGAACCAGGGTATTGAAGTAGCTCATGCACTCTCATTATAATGTACCCTTTTTTTACAGCCAGCTGTAACTCTATGATACACCATGAACCAATCAACATCCTGTCCTGAGGGTCTTCATGAAGACATTCTTCTTGATTTTGGTTCTCTGCACAAGTGCAGCATAAGGGAAAAATCAACTTGGAGCAGCATTTGATTCCCAGGACTGGCAGAAACAAATTTTTTGGAGGTAAAATTTGTACAAGTGCCACTCCGATCCATTGGTCCACTGGGGGCATGTTACTGTTACCTTCAAGATAGACAGTGGTGTGCCCCGTCACGTAGGCACACTTAAAATTGGCAAAGGGGTATTCAGAACAGATGTCGAATAGCTTAATGCATTCTCCCTTTTCAAGGTTAGCTTTCTTGTATGAACGTAATGCAGAGGTGCGTCCGCCGCACAGAGTGACACGTAAATTGAGAACAAGTGTTTCTGAGGGAGGATTGTTTTTAAAGTACTCTTTCATTTTTGGGTCGTGCTCACATTCATGTCTGAATTGACACTCCCACTTTTCGCGCACTGTGAAGTGATTTCTTTTGAACATGTCTGTGATTCTCATTGTGCTGTCGTACTTGTCACTACCCTGTTTTTTCCTGAGACTTCTTCTCGTCTTGACATCGGGATAGCATGTGGGGCACATGTGATAGTAGCAGCCATGGAACTGAAAAATAATTTTTTCTTTTGTTCCATCCTCTCTCAGTAGTTCTGTGTACCCATCCACTGGTTTTCCCATGACTCTGACTTCACGCCCGTTTTCTGCTGTTTTAATTTTTGCAGTGTCACCCAGAACACTCTGCTCATATTGGAGCCATTTCAGTGCTATTTTGCTTTGAAGATCAGCCATTCTATAGCCCCCTTTTGGCATGAGACCGATTGTGTACGGTTGTAAATGTTTGTATCGGTACATTGCCATGCATGCAGAGGAGAGTGTGAGACAGTGATGGAGAGGGTCGAATCCTGTGATTTCTATGAAAGAATCTTTGTACGACTCGAGACTCCGTCGTAGAATGTCCGTGTCTGAGCTGCAGTAAGCCAGAATCTCATGTTTGAAGTTGAATATATAATTGGCTGAGCGATAGCGAAGCCTATTACTCCAGTGATGATCGAAAAGTTTCGTGTCTGTCTGTCTGTCGGTCTGTGTGTCTGTCTGTTTGTCTGTAAACACGATAACTCGAGAACGGGTTGAGCTAGGTACCTGAAATTTTTAGCGTAGCTTTGTGACATAAAAAGCAAGAACTGTATTGATTTTGAGCCCTCTAGCTTGAAAATTGACCTGTCAAAAAAATCAAAAACGAAAACCCCAAAATATTACTTC